CTTATCTCCAGCAGCACACCATCCGTCAAATGTCGAGGCCAGATCTTTCACCCGCTGAACACTTCTGGGGCACGATAGTCGCCATGGCCGTTGGCGGTCAGCTACTTGTTGTGACGTGACCGGTTCCTTCATCACTGTTATGTTTGTAGAAAACGATATATCTTTTAAGTTTTGACATGTTCTTTAATAAGTGAATGTATCGTGTTCCTAATGTGCAATAAAGGGGTACCATTGTGCTCATTCTGCCTTCTGCAAGTAGATGGACAAACTTCGTAACTCACATCGATCGCGAGTTGAAGTTTCAAGTGAACTTTCCTCAATTCGAAAAGTGTTCTGACAATGCTAAATGTCAGCGCGTAGGATGTGTCTGTTCTTATCTATCTTAAATGTGACCTTTGAAACCAATCTGAAGCAACCAAACCATAAAACCGCATGGTATTTCATTACACAAAGTGTATAAAATACCAAAATCATTCTAAACGTACAACAGTCGTTTTAGTTTTACGCCGAGTAGTGCAATATCACGGCGGGGAACGTAAAATGGGCCAAAATCATTCTAAAACGCTTAAACGTACAACAGAGCCTTTGCAAATAATGTATTTATGTTCGTGAAATGAGAATATCCATGTTCCTCTTGTTTGTTTTCGCCCTGATAGGATCGGCGTTAAGTTGACTCTTGGTTGTTGTTGATCTGTTTAAACACAACATGCACGATGCCTTGGCTACATCCCATGTGACCGTGTGCATATTATGAAACCCATAAATGTTTTGACAATGTCACTTCGAGTCATTGAGGATAGTAATATTCATTCAAATGATTTTTCAACCTCATAACTTATGTGTGTTTTGTTGGTAATCAATGAGGTGTACATGTTTAAAGCGATACACCCAGAAAGGTTTCCTCTCCTTCAATAACAAAACCGCGTTGTATTAGAAATGTGTGCCCAGGTGTCCTTTGAAGGATATTGTGTTATTGAACCAATTTGGCCCGGTACTTATCTAATAAAAAGCTTACCCGTGAAGATCCGGGTTATGCTTCTTGCAAGCGGCTACTAACGGGACCGCCTGGTCACCCATACATACAATTTTCACCGCTATTTCTCATTATTTTCCCTTTGGAATTTGTTTACACTGGTTACTCTTAGGCGTTGACGATATACGTTCAGATAAGGACACCATAGTTGTCATGAGTATTGGAATCGTCACCAAATAGGTAATCATCTAATATTACTTTCCAAAAAGGCAATGAATACTGACTGTTACAGTATCGTGCAATGATTACTCCCAAATGACAATGGAGTGAGTGAGTGAGTTTAGTTTTACGCCGCACTCAGCAATATTCCAGCTATATGGCGGCGGTCTGTAAATAATCGAGTCTGGACTAGACAATCCAGTGATCAACAGCATGAGCATCGATCTGCGCAATTGGGAACCGATGACATGTGTCAACCAAGTCAGCGAGCCTGACCACCCGATCCCGTTAGTCGCCTGTTACGACAAGCATAGTCGCCTTTTGTGGCAAGCATGGGTTGCTGAAGACCTATTCTACCACCGGATCTTCACGGGTCCATAATGACAATGGACAATAAGCACTCCCTGAAACGTGCATGCGCAGTGCATCACCATGTGCATTCGAGCAGACGCCATCGTTGGAATGAAACTTGTTTGTTTACATTAAATCTATGAAACTTGACGCCTTGTCATTTCATAACATTGTGTCAGAAGTGGGATGCCGTAGGAAACCACGCCGATGCCCCAAACGAACTTTGTGAGTGATTCTGTGTCATAAGCTGTGATAATTCGCCCTTTATGTCTGGATTCAAGGCGCCGGAGAATTTCAATTTCGATCGACCTCAGGAATGGCCCGAATGGAAACAACGTTTCTGTCGCTTTTTCACTTTGTCTAAATACAAGGATGAAGATGGCGAATTACAAGTAAGTTCACTCGTCCATGCGATGGGTAGAGAAGCAGAACATATCATGAAGTCTTTTCATTTTCCTGATGAAAATAAAAAGAAAGACTTTGATTTTGTTTTGAAGTTGTTTGATAATCACTTCAGGGCATGAAAGGGCATGTTTTAACAAGAGATCACAACAACCAGGTGAATCTGTTTAAGCATTTATTCGTCACTTATATGAACTGGCAGAATATTGCAATTTTGGGGACAAGAAAGGTGAATACATTCGGGACCAAATTGTCACAGGAATCCTAGACCAGGATCTAGCACAAAAATTGCAAATGGAGGAACTGGCATACCTTGGTGAATTCGTCGCGACACATCCCTAAATGGGGTGGAATACAGTTTTCGTGTGAGCGCTGTAAGAGGACAGAGCAGTAATCTCCTGAGTAGGGGGGTCTCCTCCGCAATGGGACTGGTTACCTACAACAATATCTCGCACGTCACAGAGACACATGCCGATGTTTTCGGTGAGATAGGACTACTGCAATGCGAGCCCGTCAAAATTACTTTGAAGAAGGATGCAGTTCCCTACAGTCTGGCCACAGCTAGAAGAGTACCGTTCCCACTCCTAAAGAAGGCATAGGTTTAACCGACAGTTGGTTTTATTGCATGTAATTTATTTATACCTACTTGGGTGTCCCACTTCTTTTGCATCAGATCACGGATATAAGATCTAATAGCAGCTTTGTAATCAGAGTATGGGATCAGAAGTGCTGTCACAGATTTGTTGAGTGCTGCCTTAGCAGCAAGATCGGCCATTGTGTTCCTAGAAATGCCAACGTGGCTGGGTAACCAACAAAAGACGATGTCGCATTGGCCAGTAGCAAGCTCATTATACAATTCAATAATTTCTAATAAAAGTGGATGTTTACAAGAAAGATTTTTAGTAGCCTGAAGACAAAGTCTTAGACCTTGGTGGTGGACAGAATCTAATACTTTGAGGTTGCTTTTGCAGGCTCCACCATAAACGATGGAACCATAATCAAGTTTGGAACGTACCAGTGATCGATATAGATGTAAGAGGGTAGCTTGATCCCCTCCCCACTTAGAATTGGACGCGACTTTCAACAAGCCAAGTGCCTTCAGGCATTTAGTTTTAAGGGATTTAATATGTGGTAGAAACGTTAAGTGTGAGTCAAAAATAATACCCAAGAACTTGGCCTCCTTCACAACTTTGATGGGTGTGTCATTTAGAGATAGTTCCGGGTCTTTATGCGGTTTGTATTTACGGCAGAAATGTATACAATTAGTTTTCGATTTAGAAAATGTAAAGCCGTTTTCTAGACACCATTTATTTATCTTGTTTAAACACAACTGCAGTTGCCGTACAATAGTATGCATATTTTTACCACGACAAGAAATATTAAAATCATCCACAAAAAATGATCCATCGATTGAATCAATTAACGCCTTGGATAAACTGTTGATCTTGATACTAAATAAAGTCACAGACAAAATATTGCCTTGTGGGACACCCTGACCCTGATTGTAATGATCAGACAGGGCAGAACCCACTCGGACTTGAAATTGTCTGTCATTTAAAAAGTTAGCTATAAATTGAGGCAAACGGCCTCGCAATCCGAAGCCATGTCAATCTTTTAAAATGCCATATTTCCACTTAGTTTTTTCAAGATAAAGAAAGATAGACACTGCGTCTTGTTAATTAACTAGAGCCTTTTTAACAAATGATTCCAAACGCACTAGGTGATCGACAGTACTTCTGTTTTTACGGAAATTTGTTATAAGGTTATTAGTTTCCAAGTACCAAACAAGTCGATTATGTATCATGCGTTCCATTGTTTTGCAAACACAGCTTGTTAGTGAAATCGGTCGATAATTGGACGGACCCGTATGATCACGTCCAGGTTTAGGTATTGGTACTACTATAGCGTCACGCCATGAGGAAGGAAATTTCCCTGACGTCCAAATATCATCATAAATGTGTAAGAGCGTCTCTAAACATGATTCTGGTAAGTGTTTCAGGAGTTGATAATGTATGTTATCAGTTAGCAGTTTGACATAAAGCACGCCTTGATCCTTCATCTCTGACACTATGTCAAGTTCCGACATGTCAGCAAACAATCGATCACGGTCTCTGACAATACCTTTACTTGTGTTTAATATTTTGTGAGCAGAGACCGTGACCGGAATACCCACGAACGATTCAGTACTCATCAGGTTGGTTGATTGTTGTTTTTCCCCGCACTCAACCAGCAGCGCACCCGAACGTAAGCGTGTGATGTTCTTAACATCCCAAGCAATACCTTGAATACCCCTAGATACTGCAAAAGGGTTAAACTTTAACGGTGTCTTGTCAAGAATCTCAATCACAAGGAAACGTGACCAATATTCAAATGATAGGGACGGTCTGTGGTCAGTATCAACAGGATCAGTGTCGAGTGGACGGGGTTTTTTTAGGGGTTAGTGTAATATGGTTAGTGTAATATGGTTCATCATCCGAGCACCCCACCCACCACGGAGTATCACAAGGACAATGCTAAAAACAAGTGGGTCTCCGACTTGCAGCACCAAGGATACTCGGATGATATACTCAAGCAGAAAAACTAAAAGATTAATTTTTCCACCAGATTGGCCCATGATCCACCCGCCTTCTTGGCATAAGACTCTAGGCAAAGTTCATAATATACATATTACAAAGTCAAATGCTGTTCAATAACAAAGGGTGCCAAGACCAAAATGTAAACAATTCCAAATCAAATTTTGTGCAGTTACGTAAAAGCCATGCACAGGGCTTGGCGTGACCAGCCGATTGATAGAACCGGGCCAGTTCAACCACCCGTCAAGGTGAAGTAAGGGGCGAAGTGGTGTGTTGGGCAAAGGAACACTGTTCCTGGAACCAGTGCCCTCAACCACCAGACTCCCGTCCTCCACCGACACAGGGGCGCAACCCACGGCAAACGGGTTGGTGGACCAAATATACCCCCGGGTCCACAACGGGGTGGGGTTGCGGTGTTGAAGAGCTCTTAGCATTACCCAGCACCCACCACGAGGAGGTGGCTCTTCAAGGGTGCCCGTCTGATGAGATTCAACCCGGTGGCAGAACACGTAGCAGGGAAGAACATGGTGGTAGCGGATATGCTCTCACGGGCACCACTGAACTACAAAGAAAATTCCAGTGCAGCGGAAATCCACAACCTGGTAGAGGAAGAAGAAGCCTACACGGAGTCCGTCATGGAAACAAAACCTATGTCAGACCATAAACTCACAGAGATTCAGGAAGCCACGACACAGGACAAGACTCTTCAGCTTATCATGTCACTGACTAGGAACGGTTGGCCGGCGGCATACAGAGATGTGCCAATACCAGCACGAGCGTACTATCCAGTCAGAGGTGAACTGTCAGTAATCAGAAACATTCTACTGTACAGAGACAGGATTGGGATCCCGGAAGTGATGAGAACAGACATTCTCGATAGGATTCATGAGGGACACCAGGGACTGACAAAGTGTCGTGAATGTGCAGGATTGAGTGTGTGGTGGCCTGAACTCAACCAACACATTCAGGATAAAGTATCCTCCTGTACATTTTGCCAGATCAACCAATCAGCACAGAGAAAGGAGCCACTACAGCCAAGTTCCCTACCCGATCCACCATGGCAGAGAGTTGCGGCCGATCTATGCACAATCAAGGGACTCCAATACCTTGTAGTGATCGACTGCTTTTCACGATATCTTGAAGTAGTGTATCTAATGGACACTACATCGAAAGGTGTGATTGGCAAACTCAAGTGCATATTCTCAAGATGGGGTATACCAGAAGAGCTAGTTACAGACAAGGGACCGCAGTTCGTAGCTCATGTGTTTGTGCAGTTCAAGAATCAGTATGGATTCAAACACACCACATCTTCACCCCATTTCCCACAAGCTAATGGGATGGTCGAAGTGAAAATAGCAAAGCACGCTCTGAAGCAGATTGATCCTTCCTTGCTGTGTTAAGCTACAGGAGCACTCCGATTCAGTCAACGAGTCCAGCACAGTTGATCATGGGGAGACAACTCCGTGGGACCCTCCCGACGCTAGAGAAGGTGTTGCAGCCTAAGTGGCCAGATTTCCATGCTGTGCGAGCCAGTGATAAAATTCACAAGGAGTTTTCAAGGAAGTTCTTTGACCAACACCACAATGTGAAATCTCTCCCAGAGTTGAAACTTGGTGACGAAGTTCATCTCCAGCTTGATGGGGAGAAAGGGTGGAATACGCCAGGTGTTGTTAAAAAATGTGCCTCAACGCCAAGATCATATGTGATCAGAACACCTAAAGCCGACCTCAGGCGTAATCGCAGACACCTGCAGTTGGTGTCGCCAGGCAGTGTTGACATCACTCCTGAGTATAATGTGTATCCTCCTATCTCTCTGGAACAGAACGCCAACCTCGACACTCCACAGATCGCCGAACCAAGTGTCCGGTACCAGAAGCCGGAACCAGCAGCAGTTACCAGTCCACCTGTGTCCAGGACATCCAGTGGCCGAGCCGTGAGGAAGCCACAGCGATTCAATGAAAATGTTTAGGGCTTAAGTCATCACGAGATTAGGTTATCAGAATAGCCAAGTATTCATATCAGTAAATTTAAAGTTTGCTTATGCTTAAATAATAAGTCAGGAAGAATTTCCATGGGACTTAAAAATGAGCATTTGAATTTTAGTTAAACATTAACTGTTTAGCCTTCCAGAGGTAAATCGAGTTACTATTAAATTTAAGTTAATCTTGGTTACAGGTTACAGGTGTACAGGTCTAAAGTGTAAAACCAAAGTAATAAGTAATGCTTACTTATCAGAGATATCTTTATTGTTTGGTCTTGAGTTGATGTTAACCATGGTAACAAGTTATCTCAAAGCAAGGGAGATGTTACAGTGTCGTGCAATGATTACTCCCAAATGACAATGGACAATGAGCGCTCCCTGAGACGCGCATGCGCAGTGCATCGCCATGTGCATTCGAGCAGACGCCATCGTTGGAATGTAACTTGTTTGTTTACTTTAAATCTTTGAAACTTGACGTCTTGTCATTTCATAACACTGACTACTTCTACTTACATCATAATACCATGTTAGGTTCAATTACAATTACAGCATCAACTTTACAATAAGATATACGACACCTGAATAAATGCAACGAAACATATTCCATACACATAAAATCTCTAGGAAACGTAGAATAGATTCTGACTACATGTACATCATGAGCATGTCTTTATGACTTATCATCAAACATTGATGTAAGCTAGTGTTCAAGAATAGGTAAGCGTTTCCTACCCTACCTGCCCCCTCCGTCACGAACGCAATTGGAAGTATGGTCTCTCTTAACGTCAATTAATGTTCTTCCGGAACACTTCTACAAGTGACACAAAACCCCTTGGATAATGAACACGGATAAACCCAGAGAAAGACACAAAGTATGCAAAGGAAAACCTCAATTAATGTTCAATGCTCTTTATCAATAATTTAAATATCATTTATTTGCATGTTATACGAGTCCTTAATAACTCAATAAAAAGGATGTAATTGTTAAACTGTTGAAATGTTTTGAACATCATCAGCTACACGTTTAAGATTAACGTAAATAACGGTTTATTGTCAGACTGTGAGACGTGTGTGAGTGAGCATGGTTTTACGCCGCTTTTAGCAATATTCCAGCAATATCACGGAGGGGGACTCCAAAAATGGGCTTCACACCTTGTACCCATGTGGGGAATCGAACCCGGGTCTTCGGCGTGACGGGCGAACGGTTTGACCACTATGCTACCCCACCTCCCTGTGAAAAGATCACGGGAAAGCAAATGTTAAATAGTTAGAATGATGGCATTGAGTGCAGTTAAAAATCTGCTTTAAAGGTCACAAACGACATTTTATGCGCATCAAAAAAACTCACTCCTGCCGGATGAAAACACCATCACTTTAAGAAGTTTTATCTTTGCTTTGTTCGATAGCTTTCAGACCCATTTCAACCTTCTCACGCAAGAGCTGGGTGTAATTAGGTACAGAAAATGAGGGTTATGTTGAAGAGGTTCATACGGGAAAAAAGAGCCTGAAGATTTGCGAGCTTATAAGTATAGACGATTCCAAATTATCCTCACACAAGTAAAAGTTAAAGCCATCCAGGCTACATGGTTATATCCTTTCGGAACACTTTTTTCGTGTACATCGGATTCAAGTGGGAGCTCTGTATTGTCTGCAATAAAAAGAAGAATATGGCAATGCAAAACTTCATTTTTTCAAACCTATTGTAACTCAGTATGTCACAGCTGTACCAATGACCATTGGTTTCAATTGAATCTATTGAAGGCTTACCAAGGTTTACGGTGTCCTTGTTAAAGCTCGTAGCTGCAAGACGAAATAATATAAATTGACTGAGGCAACTTAAGGCATGACAGAATGGTACTAGTGTGGGGCTTAAGGGATGGAAATCGCCAATGGTATCGAAATGCGTCCCCTTCTCTTTCTTTGATATACAGATCATAGGTTAGTATCACAGAGTCCTTCAGAGTCTTCTTCACACTTCGGACTTTCCTGTTACTGTTAGGGGGCGGTGGGGTAGCCTAATGGTTAAAGCGTTGATTCGTCACGCCGAAGGCCCGGGTTCGAATCCCCACATGGGTACAATGTGTGAAGCCCATTTCTGGTGTCCCCCGCCGTGATGTTGCTGGAATATTGCTAAAAGCGGCGTAAAACCAAACTCAGTCAGTCAGTCAGTTACTGTTAGAAAATGTAGATGGTTAGATGTAAACGGATCCACGAACTCGAGAAGATGAGATGTGAGGATAATTTTATTGAAAGCACCAAAATGTTTGCTCCCTAAATGTGTTCGTATAAAAAGGTACTTACGCTCTTGTCTGTTTCTGTATCTTTCTGAGATTACATGGGACATTTTGGTTATACATACTGACCTGTAAGGAATTATTCCGCGATTTTACATTGACAATGACCTTGTATAGGAAATCTGCAAAATCCGCGATTTTGGCACACCGAATTTGACTGACAATGACTGAGTAATGGTTTTACGCCGCTTTAAGAAATTCTGCAAAATCAATATGAGAAATGGGCTTCACACCGTAATTTGACGAACCCGGTCTTCGGCGTAAGCAAATATACCCCACCGCCCCCGAATTTACCTACAAATATATAGTTAGCTACATATGCCGGAACGTATAGAATATCGAAGTTCAGATCTCTGTCAAGCTTGATCCTGCTTTACCGGATTAAATACCTTGACCAACACTTGTAATCCCACTAAATGTACATTTAACAGCTTAACTCAGAAGATATTTACTTTTAGTCTTAGCTTTCAACATCCACGTATATTATTTTTATACGTTCTCCAATTTTCAGATGAAAACATATCCCCGACAAGATAAAATCTAATTAATCAGATTGTTAATGGAATGGGTCCATTTGTTAAAACAGAAAGCAACTCTTTTAAGAAATACCTTGATACCCAATCATGTGAGCTGCTGCACATTCTGTTTGGCAATATATCAAACAGTAGTTGATATCCCCATGGACTCTACATTAAAACTCAAAGCTGCTTCTTGTTTTCCCACGAATCATATAATCTGTCAACAAAGGTCAGTAAACCAACTAGGCTATCACAGATAGAAATCTAAAACTAGCATGTAAGCATTAAAACATTTACTACAGAAGAGGACATTACCATATCAAACAGGCTATAGATCGCCAGCAACTGAAGGTATATCACCATACCAGGGACCATGGGGTCTCACAGTGCCTTTGATACCTGCATGGACCCGAGCTGGATTTACACCATCCCTTCGGATACTGGCCTGCCAAGAAAGTTCATCAAGTATCATCACTTATTTTCAGTGATGTATTCGTATACTTTCTATCAGTATAACGTGGACTCTCCATGGAATACGTTTCAACGGCAACTGAGGCGCTCATAGAGGGGCGTCAGTATTACGTATTAAGTATGTCCTCCACCCAATAAACAATTTACAGATAATTTCCAACTCAATCGAATCATAATATCTGATGGTAATATGTTGCTATGAGTTCAGATTGAAAATAATTTCTGACTGTTTCTCAGTATCAATGTCAACTCTGAACATATATTTACAAGCTTTGCTGAAACTGTTGTTGAAAATGTTACAATGCAAAGGCGCAAGGGGTTGGACGGAATACATCCATGTTCATGACATAGTACACAACATGAACCAGTTGCTCAACTACACCTTATCAGCTTATTAACGTATCAGTTTGCCATTTTGCCATCATTAATGTCACCTACTATGCCAGTGATTGTTGTGATAACTTAAGCACTTTGAAAAAACAACATTTCAATAAAATAATAGGGAAACGTTATGTGGGAATTTGCTTTTATTCTCTGTAATAGAAGGCTTGGTTCTTCTCAATTGCAATAGTGTCTTCTAATTTACACAACCAAGGAATTTTCTAATGATCTAAGTAGCATGGGAGAATTTCTTTCCGAGGAAATATAATGAGTGTTGTTAATGAGAGGGGCAAATGCAATGTCAGTTTGGGCAACATATAATCTTGACGGAAGGTGTCTTTTTGAGGTTCTGTTTGAAGGAAGATATGATGATCATAATCATGGCAGGTTCAATATTTCATCTTCACAAAAACAGCATAATTGTGTTAGATATCCGCTTATTAGGTCGAAATCGCTGGATAAATCTAAACAAATGTGGGGCAATTATTGTGCACGTGTTTCGACAAGCACTGATTATAACATTTAAGAGATCTAGTCTGTTATTATTTTAGAGAATGAGTCAAACGTCTTTGCACTGTACTTTAACACAGATAATCACCGTGTAATGATTTGTGAATTCTTCAAAGAATATCTAGTTTGGAAACGTCAATGACGTATCCACCTTAACCATTCCAAAGCTGAGTGGGTCGTGGGTTAAAATCGAAACTTCCCTTCATTACTAAGATCCGTATTCTGTAAAAACCATAAACTATGAT